AGGACACGGCCAAAATCAAGAAATGCTAATCCAGCATGTGAAAAGCTGGATCAGCCTCACAATGCTGTGCTGGGGTGTGAACCACAGGGCCATGGCACAAAGTCCCACCACAGGGCAGGTCCCCCGGTGAGGAAGCTGGACCTGATCACTGACCACCAGCCTGCTGGTCAGGAGAAGGCAGCTGAAAAACCTGAGCCCAGCCGAAGTAAGAGGGGCCCTTCACCTAACCCCAGAGGCATGTGGCGGAAAGAAACAGGCTCAAATGGCAAAGATAATTCCCAGAGAGGCCTAAGCGTAAGCCCTGCCCAGCACCGTAGGGACAAATGCCAGAGCTTCCCTTTGGACCCTGAGTTTGCCTTTTATGATAATAGTACTTTTGGCTTAACAGAGGCAGAGCAGCAGATGATCGACCTCCCTGGATATTTTGGTTCAAATGAAGAAGATGAAACAAGTACTTTAAGCATTGAGAAGCTGGTGATCTGAGTTATTCATTGCAGCCCTGCAGGAGGGGCATGCATGGTAGAGAATCTGCAGGATCAGTTGGCTCCTGGTAGAAGAAGCACAACAGGAATCACATTACCTTCACACGGAGCAGGAGGGAATAATGCCCCAGATGTGGCTTGTGGGAACATATTCCTTTCTAATTACTGAGAAGTGCTTTCATATAATATTTTTTTGTATGCATGTGGGTACAATACACACAAAATACCCTGGGAAAGCACATGTTAGTGAAGGTGTGACCCAGGAATAGCCACTAGAATTTATTGCCTAAAGCAGTCATGTTTCATGAATCAAAGATGATGAGTGCCACTGATGTAGCCTTTCGCACCTTGTGGACTCTGTACTAGTAGACTGTGACATACTGAAGCATTCGTTGTCCAGTATCCTCAACCATCTGCCCTAATTAGTGAATGATTTCCCATTTAGGAAGGACAAACTTCTAGTGGTGAGCAGTTTTCATCATTTTTCTGTTAATCATCATTGAACTGTTGTACTTGCTCAAATAAGTCACCTGGTGGGGTTTTTTTTAATGGGTTGCATGAAAGTGCAAACAGTTGATGCTGAATACTTGGAGTGAATTTAAAACTGAGGAGGCATTTTCATCATTCAAGACTTTGACATTTTCTTTCTGTCAATATTTGTGCCAAGAAAACAATAATGTACAAATATTTGCAGGAAATTTGTAGAAAAGGCATGCTACAGGGACGGCAAAGAAAACAGATGATCAGATATTAGTCCTTGCAGAAATGTTACTGCAGAATGTTACCTGTAAAAAGCACTGAGAACTGTTGAACCATGCATCCTTTCCATAATTATCCTTTCCTTTATTAAATTTTTTAAATGTAAATATATTGACAACAATACTACTACAGCAAGCTCAAAGTAAATTATGAACAAAACCAACAAACAGCAAGATTATCTGGTTAATACCTGTTATGTTAACAAAAATTAAAAATAAAATTACAACATCTGGTGATTCACAAAGAATCTTATATACTCATAGAATCATTTAGGTTGGAAAAGACCTCTAAAATCATCAAGTTTGACCATTAACGTAGCACCACTATGTTTACCACTAAAGCACATCACCAAGTGCCGCATCCACACGCCTTTTGGACACTTCCAGAGACCGTGATTCCACCACTTTCCTGGGCAGCTTGTTCCAATGCCTGACCATCCTTTCAGTGAAGAATTTTCTTCTCATATTCAATCCAAACCTCCCCTGGCACAATTTGAGGCCATTCCTCTGGTCCCATGACTTGTTACTTGAGAGAAGAGGCCAACCCCCACCTTGCTACAACCTCCTTTCAGGTAATTGTAGAGAGCGGTAACAGTGAAGTACAACAGCCATGATGGGTTCATCTGTTGTGCTTTAAAACTAGAGGTCACAATTTGCCATTATATTTTGCTGCAAGTATTCAGAGTTAGGCTGGAACCCTGGTTAACAACAGAGGCAGAGCTCAGGCCAGAAAGAATGACTTAGAGACTTTGCTTGCCATTTGATGGGATAACTCTCTCTCCAGGGACTTGCAAAGAGCAAGGTAATGCTAGTGGGCAAAAGCAAGAAAAGAGGAGGTGCTGCCCATGGAGGTAGGTGGGAAAGAATATAGATTTATGTGGTGGACTGTCTTAAATCAGCTCTCCCATAAGGAGCCCAACACTACATGCCTTTAACCTGCCTTGTTGGTGAGAAGGAAAAATTTGCATGTGCTCCATTCTCTGGAAGGAGCTGCTATCTTTCTCAAAATGGGCTTTCTGAGCAGAAAGATAGGTTTCCCAATCCCAAACTTCCCCCCTCCCCCCACCCGCTGCAAAGCAACAGCAATTGTTAAGGAAGAGCAGCGTCACTGTGTGTCAGCTGCCAGTTACCAATGGCAGCCCACTGAAGTGTCCAAAGCATGCACAGGTAGCTTGACAGGCACACCGTGTCACTTGCTGTGACAACCTAGGAGCAAAAAGGCTCTCAGCATTTGGCCACCAGAATCAAACCCGGCTGTTTGAATGGCCTTTTTGATGGATGAAGTTTTGAAGCTGCTGTTGGAGCGGCAGATCCGACTCGCAGGGTGATGTGAGTTCCCTCTTTCCCAGGAGCTGTGCCAAGAGGGCACATTGTTGGTGTTCAGCCTCTGGCCCAGTGTGGCATTAGTACTGGCTACGCATTCCCATAAGCTGTCAGCTTGAAATGCTGCTTAAAGCATGTAAGAACGTGTCAACTCTTGAAGAGTTATCCAAAGGCAGTCAAACATAATGAGTCTTTAAACTGACTTAAATGAGCTGGAAATCAGACCTCTGAAGCAACTGTGGCTCAGGTTACTCACCATCCCTGTACTAGGGTAAATTATGCGTTGTGAAGCACATTCGCCCTGAAGGAGAGATCTGTCAGCCTTGGAGCTGCAGGGCTACAGTATCTATTTAAGTTTTGTTGAGCCTCTCAGCATGGGAAACCTTGGAGAAACTGGAGATCAAATGTACAGCACAGCAAAATTCAGCAAGCATTCCCCTAACCTTTAGTGGAAGTGATTTGAGCTTGGCGGTAGCCCTCAGATCAATTAAGTACTCAGCTAGTGGCATTTTACTCTGTTTATTGAGATAAAGGGGTTCTGAAATGCTTCCTGGGGTTTGCTGTGGGAGCTTAAGGCTCCTGCACAAAGCCCTGTGACCCCTGCATCTCCGAGGGGATCCCCTGTGCCACAGGAGGGCAGAGAAGGGGGAGTGTTGCTCTAAATCAAATGCTGCTTCCTGCAAACTTGTCTCAGTGTTGGACTGTCTTCAGAACAGCTCCCGCAATGCACTAAATGTACTTAGGTACACTTTACAAAGACAACAAGGCAGACCCCTTCCCTCCCAGACTGTCATACCTTGGCCCCTCTTTTCTCTGAGAGAGAGAAAAAAGCACCATAACACTGATGCTGGCTGAAGGCAGTCCAACAATAATGCCTTTCCATATTGACACAGAGGAAAACAGGCTCCATAGTCTGGACTTCACAATGTTCATTGCTCACTCACTGGGGAACTTGACTGTGTGGCAGTTGTCTGACTAAGCCCTGCTGACTTTATCTCCAGCTTGATACTTCATTATCAGATGGGTTATTGGCTGCTTAATGAACTGTGAAATTACTAATGCTGTCCCTTCAGTGCTGCAGTTTCTGCAGTCTGTAATCTTTACCCTGTTTTCTTAGCCCTCTACTGAAAAATGGGATTTAGCATCACCAGCCAGAAGGCATGAACTGATTTCACTCACATTTCTCCTTACCTTCAATGTAGACAAAAACCATCCTTAACGCCCTCAGCACTTCATCAGTGGCCACACAATTATAATGTGTGCAAAGTCATTCCTTACGTTCCCAACATGCAGTTACAACCTTGCACCAAGATTTTACCCTAGTAAAACACAGAAGTATTGATCAGAAGGAAAATAGCAAGTGCTGGCTCTTTGCAAGTCTTTCTTCACAAGGGCAAACTCATTTCAGACAGTTGGGTAGGTGCACATTTCTTTCCACGTGAGCTTGGGAAAAGGGCAGGGGTGCAGTCTTGTGAAGGGCACAGACTTTAGGAACACAGCTCCCTACAGTGCTGCCCACTGCACTCCATTGTTCGCATTTGTAATCACTGAGATGTCTAGGAAGCAGTGAGAACAGGGTTTACCTCTTGGCAAAGCAGAGTAACCAAACCAGATTTTGTACTGAACCCTCACCACATGTCTCTGCATTGTCTCCCGGACAGCTTGAGCCATGGAAATTAAACTTACCTTGCAGACCATCTTAATTACCTAGGACAGCAGGTAGAAAAGAACTGGAGCCAATATCAAAGGAATGCTTTTCTCATATTACAACCTTCACAAGATTTTAATCCAACTTTCTGTTCAAGTTCCTACTGTTAAAAACCAGATAAAAAATATTAAGTCCTACTCAGCTGGTTTTATTTCATCCTTTATGGATGTATATACAAATTACAATATGTATGGGTCTAAAAGCCAGTAAATGGAAAAGAGCTACCTGTTAAAAAAAAAATATTTTAAATGAGAAAAAAATTAGGCTTATTCTACATCACAGTAGTTAAATGACTTGCATCAAGCTGATACTGCTGTTCATTTTTAACAACTTGTGGAAAATAGATTTTCAGTGTTCCGTTTCTTTCAGTCATCTGTGTTGCTCTTTCGCTTCACTCCAATGAGACAATGAAAGTAGCTTGCCCTGTGGTTCAACCACTTTCTACCTTCTAATTCCCTTTCACTAACTCAAAGTCATCTCTGGTAAATTACAGGAGAATGTACAAATGAATCATGTCCACATTTTAGGAACTTGTAAGAATATCTGTGTTCAACTTAAATTTAGTAAAACCTGCCTAATTTTAGTCTAGGGCTTAAATCTAGTCGGCAGGGTTGTCTTTGCATTAATGTGTTGCAGTGTGCTGTAGCAGTGGATCTGCAGCAGGAAGCTGTTGGCCATGGAACTCAGTGCCCACATTGTCCATATTGTGGAGGTTTACTTTGAAGTACTGGCTATCAACTTACACAATTCTTTTCAGCCTGTACTTTTCCTCTTTCCAAAGCAGCAGGTTTCAGCTGCCCTGACTGTTCTCTCCATCTCCACTCTCGCTGTCAACGAAGAACGGAGCCCTGATTTTCATGGCTGAATATTTTAGCGAGTACCACGTCCCATGCCACGTAGACCAAACCATACCATCGTCATGGGATCCCTTGTACCTTCCTCTTCTGTAGTATCGTCCATTGAGGTTTACAGCATGGCACCTTGTAACGATGTAGGAGAGAGAAAAAGGGAATTATGCTTAGCGTGGGAAGATATTGCATCATTGCAGTGCAGTAGTTTTCACACAACATACATTTAGGAATACCAGGGTGGGATGGAGATGTGGGTAATGCACTTAATGGAACCCAGACAAGTATGTGGGTCATCCTAAAGCAGACACCTACACTGGTCACAGAATTCAACCTGTAGACTCCTTCAGGTGTAGGACATTATAACGACATTGCCTAAACAGAGAGGTGTAGTGCCATTTGTTAGGCTCTAGCTCAAGTGTAGGCAGATTCATATTGACACTTAAAAATGCAGGTGTCTTTTAATTGCGGTAAATCCTACTACTGATGTAGCTTCACTGACTTCAATTGTTATGGTCAAAGGGGCTCATCCTGCACTAAAGCAGAGAAAAACTGAGAGTGGTGTGTCCATGGTCCAGGGGCAGGTGAACCTGAGTCCTTATCCACTGATATGTGGCATATGCCCAGCTAGCAAATATACCATCACATTTGTTATGGGATAGCTCACCCCCCTAGACATGCTCCACAATAGAGAAATGTCCTTTGCTCATGCTTCAGCTTGCTATGGGTACAATTGTTTTCTTTTCTAGAGTATAACCCAAAGCACTTTCAGGAATTTTAATTGGGCTCTTTTCCTTCCAGGTCATTGGCCTCTATGCATTTGTTCTGACCCATTTTCCTAAAAGGAATGCAACTTACCTGTGGCCCATTTCTTAAAATTAATTCAACTTAGCTGCTTTGCTATAATGAAAGAAGCAGTTTGATTTCCTTTGAGGATCTGTAGGTGTGAACATCTTAGGTTTGGCTGTGCAAGGTGGCAAGTGAACACAGCAACCTCCAGCTGCTGTAAGGCAGGCAAGTCCTCTCAGCTTTACAGCCACCCACACCCGAGTCATCCAAGAGGAATCAGCTATTTTGCATACCTGTTAAACCACCAACCGCCCTTATTCTCTGATGCACAGTTGCCTGCGAGGAATCGATCGTGATCCTTGTCAAATGTGGTGAACTGCATCCCTCTGTGAGAGGCTGACCACTGATCTTCAAAATTGCTCCCACCAGACAGAGCGTCGCCAGCGTTACCAGAATAGGTGCCAAACCATAACCTGTAATTGTCCTGCAGGAATATGTGAAATATGTCTTTGATATCAGGTCATTCTGCCCTTCCTCCCATTTTTGAGATCAAATTTGCTCTGGCCATTTTATCCACTTTTGAAGTCAAGGGTGACTTTTGTCTCCATGCTTTAATAATCCTAGTGCAGATCAATGAAGGATTTAAACTGCTGCTGCTGCTACAAAGGGCTTCACGTTTCTTGTGGTTCAACAACCACTTGATACACTCTACAGCAAGATGAAAGGCACTTTTTAGCTGATCAGGAACAAACTTAGCAGAGAGCTGTGCCAAGGAGTTGCCTTCATAAACTGATCAGTTGTTCAGCTAGAATAAATGCTTAGGCATTTTGCTCTTCCAAGGATGGGAGGTCATCTGATTTCTAGCTAAATGGTCTGGTCCTGGTGGGAATAATTAGAATAATAGTTCTGTTGTGCACAGCAAACAGGTCTAAGAGACATTTGATATGGATGGATGATTACTTTTGTGCTGTGGGCTTTCTCCTGTCATCATAGCCCTCCTTTCTTTATGAAAAATGGCAATAAGGTATTAAAATGAAGCTGTTCAAACTTTTAATAAGAAAGCTGTAATCACAAACTGAGCATAATGTGACATTTCTGGAACAGTGATGGAGTTGGTACTAGGACTGGTCCATGCAATGGAACTCATGTCCTTGGTTATTTGGGCTACTTGCATGTGGTGTTCAGAAAGGCAAGCCTGCAAAGAACAGCACCTGTATGGAGCAGGACGCTGTCTATAGCTAGAAAGCAGACAGGGAAATACAGGATGTTTCTGTCTTTGGGCTTTCTGTGTCTGTAGCACAAGGTGTAGTGCTACAGGTACCTCTTTTCAAGATAGGAGCTTACAACTGTTCTTTCAAGGCTTTGATTAAAGTTCACTGTTTTATTTTAAAACAAGGTAGAGAGGGTCTGTTCTGGTGCTTGCCTTTTATGTTACAGTCTGAAACACTCTCTTAGGAAGTAGGAGAACAGGGTTCCATTTTGTTACAGAGGTTCAAACCCTAAGGGTCTTCTAACTCACAGCAGACTTTTTTAATCATGAGACCAGAGGCAAGAACATATCTCTTTGTGCCCTGCAGCAGAGATGCATCATCATAGAGCTGCCCTTGGTGCAGCAGCAGAGATAGAAAGACAGCACACACACATGATTCTGTGCGGCTTTGACACTCTGCAGTTGTAAGGGAAATATCCCAGGCTTATGTCCCTGCTCTCAGGGTTGTTTGTCAGTCAGACAAACTAGGAAGACCAGGGAACCACAGCAGATAACTTTTGCAGAGCTGTAGTTACAAACCTGATACTGGTCTGATGCTCTGCATGTGTAGATGCCCCACCCTCACAGACCAAAACAAGCAAATCACTGCTGTCCCCCTTTCGCACCTGCTCATTTGCAAGTTGGAAATTTTCATAGACTGCGTAACGTCTTTCCCCATCCCAGTCCATCAGTTCAATCTTTAATGAGCTCTCTCCTAAACATAAAGTTGTGTCCTGTTAGATGAACTGTCTCATGCAAATTACAAAGAAATCTGTAGAGGAAAAATACTTGGACCTCTAGCGAGCAGGTCATAGATGTGGTCGTTGCCCAACCAGTATTCATCATTCTTGCCATAGAATCTCCCAAATCCCAGTTTGTAATCATCCCATTTCCTGCAGTGAGACACAAATATCAGTTTCAGCGTGTGAGAGAATTAGACAGTTTATGACACTTGGGTATGGTAACAAGTAAAATTTCAGCTGTGTTTCTAGACACTGTTTTCTACAAGCTGAGCTGAGATTTGTCACTCTGCCTCAGAAGTAAGTACAACTCACAGCTTACTTTTTCTCCTGCTAAACCTGTGCACACACATATACTGGGATCAAACCTTCAAACTGGCATATGTGGTGCTCGCAGGATGAGGTTGACAGTTAGATGAAAAGGGAAAGCAGCAGCTGTCACATTGGTCTTCAGCGAAACACCTGATATTGTTCTTCAGCAAGTCATAATTCACATGATTTATGTATTATCTTTGATATTCACATATACTTCCTGTGTATCATCATTTCCAGTTTTAGTAACCCTGTGTTTATTCCCTCTCTCATGTTGTTATGGATTGATTCTATGTGACCTACATACTAGTCAGTGCTCCTCTGCAGGATGTTTTCAATTCACCTGAACTGCCATGGCCAGATAGCAACCACTCTCTGGGTAAGCCAGCTTAGAACAAGTTAAGGTAGCTTTGCAATGGGCTGAACAGACTTTAAGAGGCACTAGATATGCCCTGACATTGCGTGTGCTCTGATAGTGAAATAATCTGCACAGGGACATTTCTTTACTGTGCTACCAGAGCATCTCTCCTCCTGTAAATTTCTGTGTGAAAGTCACCTCTCTGGGACTTTGCATAAAGGACAATCTGGTTTGGCATCTTTTTGAATTATCTAAATATAGTAATAAATCTTACAACATGCTGAGCATAATCCCTGATATGGGAACAGATGTGTTCAACAAGTCTCAGCCTATGCACTGGCAGCAAATACCTGCCAGTTTGGAGCTTCTAACAGTCTCCAATAATGATAAAACAAATATGCATTCAAATGCAGAGAAACTATGGAAAATATATGATAGGTACAATTTGAAAATGGCCTCCTGCTGCCACTAGGTACCACCAGATTGCCCTACTCCTAAGTAATCATCATTAATATATAGTCTTGCATACCCTGCTTCTCTAGGGTGAGGTTTTGCCAGGCAGCAGGACAGGAGTGGGAGCTGTTGCATCCCTCCGGATGCAACAATGATACACTCACCTGTTGAAATTCTCCCTGCCATTACTCCGCCGTTGGATGACTGTCCACCCCCCTCCATCAGACATGTCACAGTATGCCAGGAAAGGCTCTCGGTCTGCTCTGGGCCTGATTCGGTAGTAGCCACTTTTGGTTTTCTTCCGATTATACACCGCAGAGCAATCTAGGCAGAGTGGTATCTGTTTGTTAAACAGGGTGGGGGAGAAGCAAAGGGATATGTGCTACCAAGAGAAGACATCACTTAGAGGCTGTGTGGGACAAGAACACTTGGCCAGCCTGTGTACAGCTATGCAAGCCCTGGAAAATTAAAGCAAATAATTCAGCAAGGTAGTAGCAATGCTATTTTGCAAGTGGCTGGGCTTGACAAAGAACAGTAAGGCTTGATAACCTTTACAGCTATACCTTCTGAGGGAATTATTCCCAAATCTTTGGTGAGATATAGGACAGCTGTGGCTTAGGCTGAGGCTATAACATTATAGTGACGCAGGACTGAAACCGTCTCTGTCAGCAAGATATTTGCAGGGAAGCTGATTTCCATGTGGACGGTAAGATAACCTCAGCTGTACTTCAGATAGGAGCAGGGAACAACAATTCTAAAATTAGAGGCTAAGTTCCTGTGACCAGCTCTACAAGGGCTGTATCAGGACACAGCCTTTCAGAACCTCAGTGCTCCGCACTTTCAATGTAATGCCCACAAAGGATAAAATCTTGGCCACAGGCGACAATGGCATTTATGACTATGTTCTCAAAGTAACGCAAAAGAACAAAGCATGCATGCCTGTTACTGTGCCACAGAAGTGATGGAGGTACTGAGAAACTGGGAGACTTGGCTCCTCTAAACACATTTCAGTGCCTGCAGCTGAGCCAGGCACTCTGGGCTTCCCTAAGTCACTCGGAGGAAATGGGCTCTTCAAGAGCAGGGTCCCTCTTTTCCCAAAGCAGATGCCTAAAGTAAGTCTAATGGAAAACATGAGAGGTGGCTGTTCTTCTCTGCAACAGAGTCCCAGGTGAGAAGCCCAGCTCCAGTTGTCCATGTTGTACTTGGGTGGTGGCTGCCTAAAGATGGGCCAGTGGACTCTAGCCCCAGGAAATATCTGCTGGTATCACCACCACCAGTCAGCTCTTCTCCTTCCCACATATCTGCATTTTAAAATACAATCCACTTTAAAAAATATAAAACTTTTAGCAGAAATAAAATATGGCACATGAAACACTGCAGAAAGAAATAAGCATTGTGGCACGTTACCGCAAACTGTACCTTGGTCGTAAACTATCAAATTTCCACTGGTTGTGGGTAAAAGCATCTCATGCTGCACACTCCTATTGCCTGAGAACAGCCTACTTTTTGTTCTGTGGTAAGTGTTCTCCAGGATGTCCTTCAGCTGCAGCTCGTATAAGTAAAGCAAGTCTTGAAGTTGTTTTAACCTTTGTCTTAATTTATTGTTGTCTTGGAGGCAGACATCTTTGTCCTACAGAGAAAAAGAAACAATGCCCCCCATGCTTCAGTCAGTGGTAATTAGCACAGAGAGGCAGAAAGAGGAGTATCTGCCCAGAGAGGTGGTGGATTCACCGTCCCCGGAGATTTTTAAGACGAGGCTGGATGTGGCACTGAGTGTCATGATCTAGTAATCACAGTGGGGTTGGATCAAGGGTTGGACTTGATGATCTCGGAGGTCTCTTCCAACCCAGTTAATTCTATGATTCTATGATTCTATGTCACATTGCCTCTGTGGATCAAGACGGTTTGATGGTGATATCTTGCTAAGTTACACAAATCTTGCACAGCATGAGCTGTTGAGTTGAATCCAGTGAAAATGGTGTTTCTACAACAACCTTGGCATTGATCAGAACATGCCAGAATATGATCAGGTGCACAAAAACTTACTTTGTACAAAAATAATTTGTCTTGACCCCCACTAAATGAGCTCAAAGGGAAGGTTTGCAGACTATGAAAATGCTCAGATGGATAAGAGGGAGAAAACTCGGCTCTTGCACTGCAGACAGGGCAAACCAGCAAAGTTCCAGAATCATCTTTGTGTAAAAACAGGAAGATAAAAGAGCTGATATTTTGGCTATAAAAATATATTTTTTTTAAAAAGAGTTTGTTGTTGTTTTTAATTCTTAGCAATGTCGATTCCGTCACCCAGACAGCTTCACAGCCCTTAATGCTGTGAAAACCCTGTATTATCAGAACAAGGAGACTGACATTCCTTTAGCTGCATGGAGATGCTTTCTTGCTCTACTCTTGCAAATCTCCATCCCTCTTGTGAGGGAGCATCCATCTCTGCATGACTGGGAGTGACGAACGGTTGAGAAGTTGTACAGACACTAACTGAAAGATACTCACGGAAAGCCTGGGTGCAGGTGAGCTGAAGCTGACCAGGAGAAGGAGCAGCAGCAACCTGTGCATCATGACACTCACTTCTTATCACCTGAAAAGAAGCATAGATAGGCTGCACTAGAGATTTCTTTAATTCCTCTCACAACCTAATCCCCCTCACAGTTATGTTTAATTCCCCAGAAAATGCTGTAGGGTTTGTTAAGGAGGTTGCTTGAAACTACAGGCAGGATAAAATCAGAGGAAAGATGCATATTAAGGCAAAGCTAAAGCACCAGTGCAGCATGCTGACAGGGGCATCAAGCCTTAGGTCTGAGCTCCTGATTCCCTCTAGAAATAAATCCCTGTGTGACTTTCCAACAGCCTCTGCCACTTCTCCCAAGTGTCTTACACAGCTGGGAACTTACTCAGCAATCACACCTCCTTGGAGCACTTCTTGCAAAAATCACACAGTGTTTATTCAGTTCAACCTCCCCAAAGTTAAGAGGAATTTTGCCTGCTGGGTTGAGTGACCATGGACATTGCCCCTCCTCAGTCCTTGGAGTGGTCTGTCAGGATGGGATTGCCTGAAGGCCAAGGGCAGGAGTCACACATATGACAGAGTGGAATGGGGTAGTTTTTTCTTGGATTTCAGAGGAAAAGATCTCTGCGGCCAATCTGCCCCAACACACCGATGTGACTTGGGTTGGAGAGTCCTAGCTAAAAAAAATGATAAGTGCTGACAGTGGGAACATGCAGCTGAGTGTTACTGAACAGTACAAATTGTTCTCAGTGTGCTTGCATGATGTTTTAAAAAAAAAATTAGAGAGAAAAAAAATCTGAAAAATAGGCTAAGCCCAACTCCCCTGCTTCACATCTGGAAGTGCTGCAGAAACTTGGCTACCCAGCTCTATTCTCTGAGCGATGTGCTTTGTTCCAGCTATGGCTCTACTAGCAACCCTGCAGCGGCTGATGCTAGAGCTGCTTCCAAAGCCAGCAACAGGGGGACTCCTCTGCCAAGATGGGCAGGCAAGGCCCAAAGCAGTCGAGGGAAGATCTCCATGCAAGTGACCCCAGTGAAAGATGCTGTGCAGGAGGGTGTCCCAGCACATGGCAGTTTCTCAGCTCTTAGAGAGCAGAGTTCAATATTACAGCAAGGGATCACTGCAAGCCCACGACCACTGGTGCTGTTCACACCCCCCGTAGCCATGCCGGTGGCTGCAGCATTGGTGCTGAGGTCAGAATCAGGCCCCGCACAGAGCACGTGGGTGGAGGCAGAAAGCTAACAGGAAGGATGGGTTTGAGCGACAGCTCCTGAAAACCAGACAGTGAAGAGCAGAGGGAAAGAAAGCAACTCCATCCATGCCTTTATCAACACACATGAAATGAACATACCTGTGACTTGCCTTTCTTCAGACCTCCTTTTGATAAGATTATTGCCCTTAAAAGTCAACTGCGAAAGAAAATTATCATAAACCTAGCTGGTTTTTTAGCAGTTGCTGAGATTTCCCTCTCCAGAAGGCCCACATCAAGTGCACTGATGAAGAATGTTTCACAGCACTAGGCAGTTTCACAGAAAAGATACTCGCAATTCCTCATGGGAAAGTTACCCAAATCCCGGGTTTTCTATTGTTACCCAATACTCATCTTGCTGCTTTCCTAGGAAGGATAAACGACAGTAGGCTTCTATCAACAGTGCTCTCCAAAGGAGGAGGGGAGAAGGTTTCTGCTGCTTGTGTACTATTACCCACCTTATTTGACTAGGAAGCTCAACCAAAGCTGACTTCTTTAAGTGTTTATATGAATCACTCAGTCTAATGCTCCCAGTGGGAGTTTTAGCTCATGTTTTAACACAGCCAGGCTCATTTCACCAAGTCCTGAAAGGTAGAAATAACACAGCTTTTCCATTCAACATTCCTTTTGCTGTTTAATCTGTTTTATAAGAGCACAGCTGTTATGCCAAAGGAGCTGCAAATCTGAAGCAAGAAGTGAACACAGGGGTATTAAGCAAGATTTGCTATTAGACTGAAATCTCAGGAGGTTTGTAGTTGTGTAACTCTTCTGAGCTGGATGATTAGATTTGTCTGTTAACACAAACAAGGACATTTGTGGAAAAGAAAAATAAAACAAACAGATGGGTGGCTCCCTTTGCATTAAGGCCAAACAATTACAGATTATTTTAAAGAAAACAGAAGAATGTTCCATTTTACAGAGCATTTCTCAGAGAGACAATGGGGACAAAAGACAAGGCATATAAACACACAGTAAACTTCTGTGCTACTCTCAAGGAAAGCAGGACTATCCAGCTACTACCTAATACAACAATGCTGTTTGTTTCTTAAAAAGTGAATTCCTCTTCTCCCTGGCCCATTTCACTGCCAAAGGATTATGTAAACAGTGCTTTTTTTCTCACTTCTTTTCTACCCCCAGTTTTAGGCTGGTTTTGACATCTATGAAACCAAATGAGTGAAACACCTCCACATTTCCTCCTTAGTGGGTACTTAGTCCTTTCTTCTGTCCCCTTGGCCAGGGACTGCAGCCTAAAGCAGGGTGCTCAGGTACCTCACACTAGAGCACAGGAAGGTTACATGTCATCCCCTGGGGCTTTCATTCACATCAGTGTCTTTCTCAGCTGGACACATCCAGATGGGCATCGAGATGCTGCACACCAATTTATGCTCTTGCCTAGGTGGCCAACATTCTTACTGGCCCGTGAGCACCTCCTGATCCCAGATGGGGTCGGTGGCAGGACCGAGTTTGTGGTAGCAGTATTGGAGTCATGGTGTGGGCTGCACGGTCAGTCCCTGCAGCTGTCTGCAGGGACATATGGTTAGGGAGCATCAGGCCTCATGTCACTTAAGTCTTACTGGTCCCTGAGTAGGAGAGAGAGGTGAAGTTGCAGTGCCAGTGAGACTCACACATGTTATGTGACTGCAGCTTTGCAGGAACAAGACTCAGTCTCCAACCCTTCTTCAGTGATTGCCGAATCATCTCTCAGAGCCAAGATGTCTGGAGCACTTTCATGCTCTCTGTAGGACTCCTCTGCGGTGTTAACCTCACCAATGTCTGCATGTAAAAAACCCAGTCAGCTGGAACAGGGTTCTTGCGTACCTGCTTCATGATTAACTTTTTTTTTCCCAGGCTAGAGGAGGCTTTAGGAATATCTGAAGTACAAGAGAGGAGTTGCCATGAGGCTAAGTTCACGTGAGGTGGGTCTAGCAGGAGGGTGTGTTCATGCACTGCTTCCACTGGCTTGAAGCTAAAATAATCAAGTCATCATAAAGAATGTGGACAGTGTGTGATCACTGATGTTTCCTCACAGATGTTGAAATCCCTAGTCATTTACGACTGTAAATGCGCTTTTTTTTTTTTTTCCTGGAAAACACATGTTTCACAAATATTCTGCAGTGCAAATTCCTGTTCAGTTACTTGGAAGGAGGTCAGGTTCCCTTAAAATAGTCAGTGATTCTTGTCAGCAAATAATAACAGTCTCATTAAATAAAAACCTCCCCATCCTGCTGTCCTCCACCTTCCTTTCAGCAAAAGTATTTAGGTGCTGAATAATAGTCACAAAAAACTATTATTCACACTTAAAATGCACAGCCAGCACATGCAAACTGGTGGATAAATGTGCTTGAAGAGAATGGCTCTGGGGTAGCTCTTGATATTCCACAGTCAGGGGACACTGGGGTCCCTCTGAATAACTGGCTTGGGATGAAGACATTAAGATGATACCCAATAGATACTCACACTCCCAGAGTCCAAAGAACATCACTGCAGATGGAAGACAGTCATGGGATCCCAAAACTCTTCCAAGACCAGTTTCTTTTTGTCTGTTTGTTATTAAAGGCGGAAGGGAAGAAATGGGGCAGACTGCTTCAGGCTCCAAAGAAGGCACAGACACTGAGGATTTCACAGCAAGAGTCTCACTGCCTACCTGTGCTCTAGAAAAATTCAGGGTAGTCTGGACCCAGCTCAAAGCAAAACAGATCATTTGCAGTGAATCCAGGCGCTCTGTGCATTTGCATTATTTTTATATTTCCCTATCACATCCCACCATCCATGAACACCCTGCTCACTGGGAGGGACTGCAGATCAGGATCTTTTGCAGGCACTGCAGGTGTGGAGGTACCTACCGGGGCCTGTGGGCCCTTGATGCGTGAGCTAGTATACATCTTCTGTAGGAATCTTGTGCTGCCAGGTTTTTTACAACAAAGTTAATATGTGAGATCTGAAACAAATATTTACTGTTTTTTTAATCTAACAATAAAGGGTTTCATCAAAAGTAAGATAAATTTAAAAGACCGGGATGACATCAGAGACCATAGTTTCAATCTATGAAATAACCGAAACCAGTATATGCGCATGAAAAGTCTGTGGTTTTTAAGCAAGGAGTAACCACAGAAATCTGTGTACAAAGAAGAAGTAATAGTGGCAGACCATGAAACATGCTAGATGCGAATGTTTCGATAACATTCAAAGAGCAAATACATAATTCAGTTTAACTAATGAGTCTGCATGCAGCCTATGAGTATCTAATGGGTTGACACAACAAACGTAATTAGTTTGTAAGTTCCTGAGGGCAAGCACAGGTCCCAGCGATCTCACATCAGGAATAGCTGTACCAAAGGGAATTAGTCACAACACCAGAGGGAATATGTAGATTATCTGCATGATCTTCTACCTACCTCAGGTCAGAGAACTCCCCTGACCTAATTCCCTCCCATTTGAACTATAACATTTCTTTGAGAAAAAGACATTTTACTGTAAAATATTTAATGCTGAAGAACTAGCCACAAACCTTAGCATGCTTCTCCAATTGCTTAATTACTTGCATTGTTAATTATTACTGGTTTTTTGTCTTGAGTCTGAATGTGCCAAGTTTCATCCTGCAGCCTTTTAATCTCATGAGGCCTTACTCTGAGAAGGGGAAGAGCCCTCTGCTGTCTTTTTCCCTGCTGAAGGCTAGGTCCAAGTACACAGGAGCTGTGTGCCTGCTCCTGGATGGGAACCCAAACCTCTGTTATCTACTTCAGCCACGGGTGTGCATGCTGGGGGAAAGCCATCAGGGTCATGGAGAGAGGGGTTGCATGGAGCTTTTCTTAGGCAAGGCCAAGAACCGCAGCACAAGCACATTACACTAGTGAGTAGGGCACCTGGCTGGCATGGGGAGGAGGGGCAAGAACAAGTTCTTTTCCTGGAGTGATTTCAAGGCTGTTTAATGCAGAACATGTACACAGAAGTGAGAAGATCTGTGGGTGGTGTATGACAGTGGTGGACGTGGCCTCAACTGGGCATGCTGAGGGGACTCCAGGGACTGCAATACTCTGCCTAGATTTAGGAGCCTGATCCAATCTAGGCAGGAGCAAGCAGCAGAGATTTGTGTCCAGGACATGCACAGCAACAGAACTGCAGCCCAACAGAGAGGTGCCAAGTCAGTTTAGTTGCCTCAAGGGTTAGGCAGTTGCTGAACAAATACCTTTCTACATCTAAATTTTGATGGTGTAAGTCTGCTTACACACCTTCTGGGGCACCCAGATCTTTTTTCTTATCGAGTCCTCACTGACTTTGATTAAGTCACTGCCCTGACTTCAGCTAGGGTAGAGTTAATTCCTTCTCAGTAGCTGTTGCAGTGCTGTGGTTTTGATTTGGAACGAGTACGGTGTTGATAACACACTGGTGTTTTGGGATTTTGCTGAGTTGTGTTTATCCAAAGTCAAGGACTTTTTTTTTTTCTTGTCTCATGCTCTGCCAGTGAGGAGGTACACAAAAGAAACTGTGAGGGAGCATAGCTGGGACAGGTGATCCAAACTGACCAAAGGGATATTCCACACCATAGAATGTCATGCTTAGTATATAAACTGGGGGACATTACCTGGAATGGTGGCCAAGCTAGTCTTGGGAAGGTGGGTCTGGTATTGGTCAGTGGGTGGTGAGCAATTGCACTGTGCATCACTTGGGGTTTTTTCTCTGTTTATTATCATTATTTACTGTTATTATTTTATTTTACTTTATATTCAGTTAATAAACTGTTCTTATTTCAACATACAAGTTTTACTTGGATTCTCTTGCCCATTCCACTGGGGTGGGGTGGGGGGAGAGAAGGAGGGTTGAGTGAGCAGCTGTGTGGTGCTTCATCTCCAGCTTGGCTTAAAAGCCCACATTAAGGGCTGTGTAAAAAGTACAAGCAATATTTCGAAACCAAAATCTTTCCTGTTTGTGGACCCAAGGATCTTGCTGTTCCTTTTGTCACAGAGTTACATGCCCCAATCACCTGTTACTTGCTAATCCCTACTGTTTGCTCCAGGACTTTTCAGTGTTGCCTGTCTTCATCATAGTCACTGATGCTCCAAGTCTGACCTGCATGGTGTTACTCCCTGCAATCAGGATGGTTGTGATTTGCAGCACATGAGAAGTTGGTTCAGAAATGCTTGACAGCTTTTCAACATGTACACACATATGCCATGCAGATGGCAGGTGCCTTGCAGTGAATTAGTGGGACTAGTGGAATTAGTGAACTAGTAGACTAAGGATTTTTTAAAAAGATGTTGCATGGTCCTTCAGGTACTGAAAGCTGAAAAATATTATCCTGAGGTCTTTTGTTCTGAGATTGACAGTGGATGTACGTTACAATTTACTCAGTGCTAGGCAGCCATT